CCCCAGGAAAAGGAGCAACGTGACAGATCTAGTGCCCCTGGAAAAGGAAGGAGAGAGACTTCTCTCAGAGATAAAGGGCAGCTTTCACCCCACCCCAGCTCCCACTTTGCTCCATTCTGCATAACAGTGATGCATTTAAGGAGAAGCACAAGTTACATGGGCCAGAGGTCATCTGCTACTGCTTTGTCCCAAGTCTCCCTGGAATATAGTTTTCCACTACCATCTGCCATTTGCTGGATTTTTACATCTGTCTTTCCCTAAAAGTAACTCCCCCCCAAGCCTCCTGACATAAGGATCAATGAAAACCATGGACCGGAGTCTTTAGGAGCACCAAACTTTAAAACTTTTCTCCCTCATTTAAAGCCACGTCTTTGTCTTTCCTTGTTTTTTCCTGGTTTACTCCTCCTGAAGTAAGCAGGAAGACTTGGTTACAGACTAGATACATCAGAAAACTTTGAATTATCTATCTAAATGTAAAAGCACAGGTTAATCTACAATCACTTTCATGTCAACTTCGTGTGATACTTTTTTCCCTTGGCTTTGCACAAAGAGCCTTGGCATGACACTCTGACTCTTGATATAGAAACTCCCTTTGACACTCTAAATGGGGTTATTCTCTTCCAGCCTTTTAGGTCTCCTTTGTAATCCCCCCAGCCTTTGCAGGGGCAGAAGGAAGGACGTTTGCATGAGAGCCATCTGTCAGGGTAGATACAAATCCCAGACTCCTCTGGGCATTAGAGACTGCTCCAACCTCGAAGGCTTCACTCTGCAGTACAACAAACACAGATGGTTTCCCTCTTGGACCCAGGACAAACGTGTTGCCTTTCAGGACGTCGCAATGATTTTCCTCAAGTAAGCCTTCTGTTTAAAAAATGTGAGCTATCTATATGTTTGGGTCTGTGATAAATGCAACTTATGCCCCTATATGCATATTCTTTTATATATAAGGGAAAATGTCAATGTTTATCATCATTTGTCTGAAAAGTTAGGCGCACTGAGTGCAGATTTCAATCTATGGCACTTTTAACCTCCACAACTTAAAGGGAAACCACCAAAGACAAGTGTTGACTGTACATTAAGCAATCTGTTTGATTAAAAAAAACAACACTGCACATTGATCTATTGATCGAACTGCTCTGGCTGCAAAGTAACTTATTTAATCAACCATAGTCCGTTTTATACCTATGACAACATTTATAAAGTGACTAAATTAATAAATTGGTCCTTACAGGATACAATTCCTTAATTCTCCATGTATAAATTTACTCTGGGCATGCACATGCATGCAGCGGCTTAGGAGTTGGCATAAACCTGGACCAAACTTTCTGTACCGTGCAGTACACTTTCACACAGAAATAAGCAGCCCAGGCTGAAGCTGTGCTTAAGCACATCAGGATAGCGTGAGCCCTGAGTCTGCTCATCTGGAGGGAGTATTAGCTTGGATATAACTACATGTTACTGCATAGAGAAGCTCTTGAGGCTGGATCATTAACAGTTTTCAGATGCCTAAGACCTGTTAAAATGAAATCACCCTTCACTTCCACCTTATCAGCACTTCTTATTTCATCTGAAAATAGTGCTAGGGGTTGAAAGTCAAATCTGAACAAACAGTAATGTAAGCAGTTGAATACAAAACCCCACAGAACCACAGTGAAACATCTCCTTATATACCTTTGATTGTATACTAGTTTTTAATGCCTTTCATGGTCTTCTGCAGTAGATATGGGATATGCAGAGGTGACTACTACATCATCTTTAGGACAACGGGTCTCCTGGTACTCATAATCATGCTCACCCTCACCTCTTTAGAAAGAGGGTTTTGCATGGGAACGTACTGTGATATGACTCACCTGATGGTCTCCAGTGCCTTGTTTCTCTCCTATGCAGCACAGTCTCACCTCCTTCCCAGCAGACTCATCCTTGCCTCTGCAGGCAGCATCAGCTGCCCTGTTCCACACCCGTGCCTTGTAGGCAGCCTCCTTTGAGTGTCTGGCATTTTTTCCAGACCATAATGTTTATTAAAAAGACAGTGGTTTTTAAAGAGGACCAGCATAGAAATCCATCACAGTAGAACTATTTTAATGATGGTACAGAGGAGAGCAGAAAAGGAGAAAGCACAGGCATTTTAAAAGCCCCATGGAGTCTGAGGTTTGCTAGCCTCAGCACTCGGCCAAGCTGAGTGTTCTACTTGGAGTAATTCCCCTCCCATCCCAAAAGTGGGAATTTTTATTTAATGTAAGACTTCTAAACAACCAACCAACCCCCCATGTATTATGAATCAAGGCATAATAATAGTCTTGTTCTACCAGGACTTCCTCAAAAACCAACCCTCTCATCTCACCAGTCCTGCTTCATTTATCCCATATGATCTGGCCCAAACTGTAGATTCACTTATGCCAGAATGAGCATGGCACCAGTAATCTGTAAGGAACAGAGCTTTACCTGGCTTCCCCTTCTATAAATCCAGTGTTTTAACTGGTTCATACTGGACTGGCACTGCCATGAGTGAGACCTGATTTTGGTCTTCAATTTGGACAGATTCAAAGTGAGTTCACTGCGAGCAAAATTACAGCTGGAAAATAATCTTTACTAGTTACCGCGGTGTTGAAAAGCCAGCTGTGCTTGCATTGCAAAACCAGCTGTAGACCTGCTATTGACCAGCAAGCATAACATCAAGGGGCACCATGCATCTTTCAAGAAATCACTCTCTTATGCTGTGCTGAAAAGCTTCAGTTAGCCAACTTTTGGGTGTAGAAAAGGAAAGTTTTAACAAGAAAAATGTATCAAAGGAAGGCCAGATCCTCACTGCCCTCTGGACATTTGAAAATTTGACCCTTGAACTACAAACCAAGCCAGAAACAGATACAAAAATAACAAATCCGTAGGTAGGTAGTAGTTATATATACATATATGTATGCATATACGTACATATGTGTGTGTGTGTGTGTATATATATGTGTTTGTATTTATCTGGTTTCTATTAGACGGTCCCCTCCTTTCCCATCTGTCAAAGCTGCATTGCCTGTCTTCTAAAGCACTAGCCTGGAAACTTTTAGACATGTGCTTATCTTTAATTACATGAGTAGTTCCCCAAGTGCTGATGGGAATACTCATGTACGAGGGAAGAGGGTTAAAGTGCAGATTTATTACAGACTCAGACTATTTTCCAGGCTGTGTTTGTGAAATAACTGAACAGGAAGGATTAGAAAGCTGGCAGGAGACCCAACCCTCTTACAAGCAGGACAACAACTGTAAACATCTAAAAGATCAGATTTGGGAGTAAATCCTCCATCACACTGGTAACGCGACAGCCCCTCTGGAAAGACTGGGATAAATCTGCTGCTGCAGTAAAACGCTTTGTGGCATCGTGTGGTACCTGACAAACGTAAGAGGTGACTAGGGCTGGACGTGTGATCTTGCTGAGTGTGACAGGCCACTTTCCTCGTGATTAAAGCTATCCTGTAACATTCCCAAAGCATCCTTGGGAACTGGTGGCTAGAACAGGAAATTATTTTCTCATTATCGGGGAATTCTTCCAGTGCTATAAATGACTGACTGACTTTTTCAATCAGGACAATGAAACGCAAAAAGGCAATCTTGAGCTGAGTTTCAAAATATATTTCTGATATGAGCGTTTTGTTTCATGAGCCTATTTTTCAGTGATCTCATTCTGATTTTTCTGAGTTCATAGGAAAATATGAAATAACTTGTGTTTCGAAGTAAAAGGCATTTCAGTGTAAAAATAGAGGGTTTTCTTATTTAAAACTCACTGCAACAGAGAGGTCTTGACAATGTTGAATGTAAAATCAAAGTTATATGGAAATGGGCAACTCATAAAAACCAATTTTTTTTATGAGCAGCTTGGGGGTCATGTGGTTTGGAGGAGTTTTGGGTTGTTTTTTTTTTTTTTATTTTCAGTTAGAAATCTTAATCTTGCCAAAAAATTCTTAGTGTACTTTACTTAGGAGCCCATGCTCCATTTTTTCAGGACCGATTTAAGTTTATGAGCTTGCTTTTTAAAAATGGGTCTCTGAGACACCTAAACACACACGACTGACTTATGCTCTGCGAGGTAATGAATGTGCTTGTCTCTCCCAGACACTGACGGGGAAAGCTCACAGTGCTGCCAGGTGGTGCCTTTAGAGCATTTGACGTGCTTGGCACTTTGCAGAACCTCACCTGAAACATACAGAATCCGAGGGTGCTGCGCAGTTTGCAGGGCTGGGAATTAGCACTTTGCCCCTTTGGGCCTATGTACAGTGTATTATTTACGAAAGAAACCCTGACTAATTTAAAGTATGCAGTGCACGCTGGTGCTGTTGAATTGCAGTCGTTGAGCAGGGGAAAAGAGAAGGAGGAGATAACCGCAGCTGTGAGCAGTCACAGTTTTTAAAAGATGTCTTAATAAAAGGGCATAGACAAAGGCATTTTTGTTGCAAATGAATAGTAAGAGAGGGTCAGTTCACAGTCTCACCACTGAGTAGAGTGTTCCTCCCAGAGCTTTTCCACCATCAGGCATGTTTGTATATTTTTCCCTCAGTTGAAATAACAGCCCCATCCAAAGGCATGGGCTAAAATAGAAGAGACTGGCAACCAACTGACAGCCACAGAAGACTCCCTGCCTGGCCCCATAAATACCACGCTTGTATAACTGGTTGTGGCCAGATGCATACACAAACACTGCAGTCATCTCTGAACCTCAGCACTGGAGATGGTGTCCATCACTTTTAGTGCTTACGGTGCTGCTCCTCGACACTTGCCCTGCCTCCTCGCTCCACTTTTACACACAGCTCTCCCCTGGGTCCCAGACGGCATCAGCCTCACTCCCTCCCCTTGCCATTTTCCTTGCGCCTCTTGACTCAGTGGCTGCAGCTCGCCTTTTGGCTTTCTTTGCTGAAGTTTCCGCATCCTCCCCTGCTCCTCTGAGAGCAGCAGCGTCTGCGGCTCTTGGTCGTCTGGCAGGAACGATGCCTTCGCCTTGAGGCGCTGCCGGTCTCCCCCGTCCTGTTCCTTCTCCTTCGGCCTCAGCAACTTGCCGAAGAGGAAGGAAACACGGTTAAAACCCGCTGGTGGGGCAGGGGAGCGGTGATGCTGATGTTCCCCAGCCCCCCGGAGGACGCCTGAGCGCGGCTGCCACAGCGCCTCCCGCCGCTCCCTAGATAAGGCGGCAGGAGCATCGCCTGCAGCCCCAGCCCAGAAAGGTCCCGCTCCAGCGAGTCCCGACGCCGAATCGCACCCTCCCCACCGCCTCGCACCGCTTCGTAAGTACTTCATCCACACGCTTCCCTCCCGCCTGGGTGGCTTCTTGCTTTGCTCTTTTCTTTTTCTTTTTTTCTTTTTTTTTTTTTCTTTTGTTTTCCCCCTTTAGCAGCCACCACCAGCAAGGCAAATTGCCCGCGTCACCCGTGGGGACTAGCAGGAAAGCCTGGGGTCCCCACTCTGCGGGGAGCGGGCTGGGGATGGTCCCATGCTGGGAAAGTTGGGGTGCAACCGCACTGAGGCTGCAATGCGTGGGATGGGGTCGTGGGGAGGAGAGTGCTCTAGAGACGACTGCTTCAACTAACTTTAACTGCTGGGACAGTTCACAAGCGGATAATGCAAGCCAGCACAGTGGGAATGGGTGTCAGGATTTCTTATCCCACTACGAAAGATTGGTGTGTGCAAGGGTTAGTTCGTACCTCAAGGAAATAATCAAGGAAGACTTTGTATTTTTTATTATCTCCAAAGACAAAACCTTTCTGACCAGAACCTGTGCAAAAGTACCTTGCATTTTTTTCCATTGACCAAAGTTTAACTGTTGGGATTTTTTTTTTTTTTACAAGTTTATGGGAGGTAGGAGTCAGTCCACAGGCCAACGTGGGTTTTGAACTAGCCTCCAGAAGCGCACTGTCTGTGAGAGGAAACTGCTCCCAGACAATTCTGTGGGATTTCTGCATCTATGCAATTATTAGTAGCAGCGGTTTTGGGTGGAGGGAGACACCAGGATCAGGTTTTCAAATACTTAGGTGTTTCCTAAGAATTTTAAATATGCTTTAGAAAAATCAAAATCAGACTACTCTGACAAGAATGCCTGGAGAGAGCAGCCTAGTGCCCAAATAACTGAAGAAGAAACTCTGTGCAGTAGCATGAGGCTGTCTTCTGTGCCCAGGAAGACGTCACTCCGATAAAGTAACATTAAGCATATAGTAAAACTTGTAATGAAAAGTTTGGAATGCAAAGCAGGAACACCCAGACTTTCTTCTTTTAGGGCATCTATTTTCTACTCTGACTGCAGTAGATGGGTTGCCTTGCTTTATTCACACGATTTGACCAGGAAGCTGTTGTAACCGGGCTAGGATAGGACCAGGGTATGGGTGAAGGTACGTATTTGCTAGTAAAGGAGCCAAGGCTGAGTGCAGGTGGAAGCAGCCAAATGCAGCCAGGTGTGGCACCATTCCCCTTGGCCCTCAGCTGTTTCAGATGAGCTCCGTGTTGGGAAGGTGGGTGCAAGATGACTACATCCAGATGATAGTATCTTATTCCTTCTTTACACATTTGCAAATGACTTCGTGCAAATAACGGGCCTACTCACACTATAGGACCCTGCAGAGGACATGCGACAGAAGGAAGGACAAGTCTGTCTTTGCCTCCCACGTAGGTTTAGGGAGGGAAGAGAAGAGCAGGTAAGGAGGCTGGGAACCTCCCTGTCCCTCCTTGCTCATGTGCTCATTGCAAGCAGACAGAGAGGGGCAAAGCAATTGAAAATAATTTAATAATCAAAACCTGTCAGGAGACCGTAAGTGTGAGCGTGGTGGGAGGAGACGCACCAGTCTTAAAGGGCAAACCCTGATGCCTGAGCAGCTCTTTGGGCAGGGTAGCGAAGCGTTGCCCTTGGTGCAGGCCGGACTGTAGCTGTTGCAGTCCAACCTCTGCCTTGTGTCTGCACGGGGCAGCACACTGTAAGATATTCCCACTTGTTCCCACTTCGAACTATCGAGTGCATCAGCGGCAGCAAAGCCAGGCCTTGCCTACGGGAATGTGGACAAGCACAGTTGCGTGGTGTCCCACCCCAGGGCCCCAAGTGGCCTCCATTTCTGCTCTTGAACTCTCCTCCTCTCTGCTCATGGCAAAAATATGTTCTTACAAAGTGCTCTGGGTCCAGCAGAAGATAGGTACATAGTGTCATACAAGCTTCTGTGGCAACACTATTATCAACCTACCAAAATAAATACTCAATAAATTCCGATTGCCTGCTGCCACCCAACAAAGATGCTGTCGAGTATTTTTATTTATGTAGCATCCATGTCAACATGCCAACAGTTTCTTTAATGATTATGCATGTCCTGCAAACTAGTGTGTGTTTTCTTTCTTGGGGATTTAGTCAATTGTGGAAACAAAACATTCCCCTGAACAACAACAACAAAAAAAAGAAATATCCACATACTTGTGGACAACACCACATGGTCTACTGAAGTCCTCAAAAGCAGAGTTTGTGGAGACCTTACAAAGGGTCATTGCAGAAATTCTAAGTATTCAACATACAAGGAAATGACATGCAGGTGTAACAAGTCATGCCCTTAATGTGCGGTGGTGAGGACTATTGACATGGATGCCTACTTAGCTCCTGTAAACTTTAAGAATTGCAGATCAGCAATTCATTTCTCCATCTCACAGTTAAGAATGATTGCCTACTGATGACTCATTTGAGAACTGCATTGTCCCTTGAGACTGGATACAAATACCCATAGCTACCTAATTTCCATGTAGCTCCACAGCACCTACAACCATTCAAATCCTGGGAGAAGACAAGAAATGGAGATTTAACTTTCCCCTATCCGAAGCCATTTCTGTGCCTGGTTCAGTATCAAATGAAAAAAATCCAGCTCTTCAGTTTTGTTCTCAAAGCTTTAGTTTTCTATCTTACAAGTTAGGTTTTTCTCATGAGATTTCGTTTCAAGTTGGCTTAAATGTCACATGATCAGGTGGCCTCAAAAGATTTACATCATTTTGGTAGAAATATGTGAGAGTAGTTTTGCTGAGTATTCCCTAAGCTCTAGCCTGATTACTTGCGACAAATATCTACATTAAACCAACCACTCATTAAAATAGTAAACCAGACGGCTTCTTTGTCCGTCTCTAGGCAAAATATTTTTACCTAATTGAAGCCCGGAACTGGTTGCATTGGTGGACTTTTTGATGGAGACCCACAATTTAAGCAAAGAAAGGAATCCTATTATTTGCATGCATTTGTGTGTTTTAAGACTATGTTAGCGAGTGGTAGGAGCTGTACATCTCCTTTCTCTGGATAGCTTTATTTGGGCACTTCAGCCAAGCATATACAGCAACTGAGAATTCTGAAAAAAAAATTAGAGTGTGCTTTAAGCTACCTAGAAATCCAAAGCTGATATCCAGAAACTGAAAAGTTCAGGTATTTGTCATCTGAATCACCATCTCTTAGAAGTGTGCATGCCCAAAGGAGTCCTGCTGTTATATGACAGTGACTCAGCGTGAGAGCTCATCCACATGAGGCTGAAGTACCTTTTACTCATACCTGCACTTTTCAGTCCGCCTTATCATTCCTTGCTCTTCTCTGTCCGTAAGTAGTGCCAATCCTACTGAATGCCGAATGCTTTTACAAGGAGCAAATGCAAAACTACGTAGGCAAAGCTAGAACTTGTCTCAACCTTTAGGGAAGCATTTAAGGTGTCTCTATCAGCCCTGTCTTTTCCCAAAAGTAAGAGACTCGAGGTGACTCCTTTAGGCACATATCTCTGCAGGGGGGTGGTACAGCCTAGCTGCATTGTAGCAAAGTCTCAGGCTAAATGACTATTGAATCCTAATTCATATGGAAAAATCTATAGGCATTTCCGGAAGTGTCTCCTGCTGAGTGTGATTTAGAGCTCCACTGTAACCATTACAGTTGCACAAAGGATGAATGTGGATCATTATATCAAGAGATATAACACAGTGCAAGAAAAAAAGCACCTTAGTCCATCACATAAATAGCAAGCATTACCTACCAAGGTGACTGAGGGCAGCAGAGAACGCAAACCGTGCTAGCGTGAGGGCTGCTAGGAGAAGAGTTGCACTTAACACACGAAAATCCGAGAATGTGCTTCCATTTGTAAAGGCATATTAATGACTTCATACAGTCCCCATAGCAGTCTTCACTCCCACGTGAAACGTTACTGGGGAATCTGTTTCTTTAGTGGCGGGAATTGATTTTAGCGGTCTGGGAAAGCACCATTACAAGGCTCACATACATCACCTCTCCTTTGGACGAGAGGTCCGTGTGTAATGCACAGCGGCAGGATGTAACTGCACTCACAGGTTCGCACATCGTATGCAATGTATATACACCCAAGATACCAAAACTCATGATACATTTTGGTAATCTTTCTCTTTTTATTCTTTTGTCACACAGACTGTCACAATGTGCAGTGTGGAAACAGTTTTGTAAGCAAGGCAATGCTGGCTGCAGGGCAAACTTTAAAAAAAAAAAAAAAAAGGGGTGTGTGTGTCAGAAGTTAGGCTGTAAAGCCATGTTTTAAAGCACTGAAGGTGCCAAGGGCTTGGCATCTGTGGCTGTGAAAATGTGAAGAGAGATCTAAGAGATTTATTTTAGAATACTACTTTTCAAACTATTGTATTAAGAAAAAATAATTAAGGAAGTCTCTCATAATCTAAGATTATGAGATCCTAAATTAAGCCTCTTTACAAAGCTTAATTTTTATTAGGTGAAATAACTCAATGAAACGACTTAGTGAAATCAAACCAAAATTAATCATATTTTATAAAGCATTTCCAGTCAGTATAATTTACTACCAATTTTACATTTAAATTTTACTATCTGTCCTCAGCTTTTTTGCCTCAAGACCTGTTCAAAAAAAGTCCATAGTGTCTGAAATGGAGTCCCTGATTTTACTGAAAACTCTAAACAGAACAGAGTACCCTTCAGAAAAGAACATTTTCCCTACAATCAATATTTAGCCAGCGTGCCCTAATCAAATCTGATCAAATCAAATGGCACTGAAGAAAAAAAACTCCCTCGAATCACAAAATGCAGTGTGAGCCTTCATATGGCCAGATAAGAAGTTTTTGTTTTAAATAAAATTATGACTGCTTCATTTTAAGCCTTAGCTATAGCTTATTTATACAGTGGATAAACAGAGCAGCCATACCATTCAAAGATTTCTTTATGCGGGGACTTCCCAAGTGGAAGATGATTTTTTCTGTAGATGTAAATGAAGTCTCCAGGCAGTATAATCCTTTAGTACAGATGTGAGGCTGGACTGGGACAGTTCTGCAGTGAACAGCCAGAGGTCTAACCCCTTATCCAGGCCTGATTCAGTAAGGTATTTAAGAATTTGTAGAATTTTACAAATTTTTGTGAATTTTGAATACTGAAGGGCATGGGAGTTAGTCCCATACGTACATTATGAGTCAATGTTCCTGACCTTTATTACTGTCAGCCAGTGTTGCTCCACTTACTTTGAAGTCACTGAAGTTTAGGACATGTTTTTCCATCCTCTGAAGAATTAGCTCAGTACATTATTATGAGTGCGACCTTTCATATTTTGTTTGGCAAATATTTATGTGACTGGATTTTGCTTGAGGATTAATTGTTCTTTATATAGACACAAGTTTAGTCATAGAAATGAGGTTAAAACTCCCCTACTGTTTTGTTTCTTGTTGACAAACAACCACTGCAATTTACAGAGAAATAATATAGTTAATTTCTTTACCTCCAGCAAGATAAAAACAAACTCCCACAGTAGTCTCCTATTTTCCCATCCTCCTTTTCACTATTTTTCTCCAACGGCCTTTTCTTTCACCTTTCTCTTTTATTTACCGTTCCTTCTTCACCTCCCCTTCCTTCCTCTGTTTTTTCCCAATTCCTCCTGTCTTTCTTCTACTGTTCTTCTTGTCTTCTGTTTTTTTCTCTTCCCCGTTGCCTTCCTCTTCCCTACAAGGAACTCAGTCTGCTCTTATTCCCCAAAAATGGAGAACAGAGGTTGTGAGTAAGAAACTGCCACAGCTAATGCTGGCTGAAGGGAGACACCCAGGTCACTCAGACTGCACCTTCAGGTTGAAGTTTTTTTTCCTTTAACATTGCTCTGTCATTCTGACGGGTTTCTGCTAAGCAACCATAGAAATGATCAGCAGTAAAAAACGGTCTAATTTTCTTCTTCTTGTGATGGCATCTGGGGTAGTCCCAGAGTGAGGGAGTCCAGGATCAAATCTCAGCTTGGGGGATGCTGGGGGAGCTCAGGTAGGAGGCTGGGCTCCAGGACCTCCTGCCGTTGTGAGTAAAGGGGGATAAAACAGCCAAAACAGCAATCCAGCGAGACCTACAGAGCGTGGGTGCTTAAACAGCCTTGTGAAATGGGTTCCCATGCTCTTACCAAGGTGATGAGTAAGTCCACTTCATGCTGGCTTTGGGGTCTATGGGCACTGGCCGTCTTTCAGAGGCAGCACTTACAGCTGGGTCTTCAGGGATATCCAAGCTCTCTTAGAGGAGCTGGACTTGTAAGACTAACTCAACAGCATTCGTAATTAAAGTCAGATTGTATGATAAACACCAAGTATGATCCTTAGTTTACAGTTGAGAAAAATTGGAGAAAACCAGAACAAAACATCCTATTTCCATTTACTTTGTGTATGTGATCGCACTTTCTGTATGATCAAAGTCAGTATTCTTCTGTGGAGCCAACGTATTTCACATGCTAGTGTGGGTTGCTTACAGCAAGGTAGGTGGAAAAATGGGATATTGCGTGTGTAACCAAGGCAGTGAATAAAAGCATCTCTTAGCGCGCGTGAGCAAAATCAGGCCAGCAGACTGCATGACAGAGAGCAGCTGGAAGACAAGAACTTCTCATGATCTGGCTAGCAAGTGGATATATAACACCAATATGTCTGGTTTTTGTCCTGCGGCTGCTTTTTTTTTTTTTTTCTTTTTTTTTTTTTTTTTGTGTGTGTGTTTTTTTTTTTTTTTCTTTTTTTTTTTTTTTTATTTTTTTTTTTTTTTTATTTTTTTTTTTTTTCTTGCTGCTGTTTTTTTTTTTTTTTATTTTTTTTTTTTTTTAATCTGCTTGTTTTTTTTTTTTTTTTTTTTTGGTGTAGTAGCTTCAAAGGGGGAGAAAAGTCCATTTCAATGATGTCAACAGAATGTGTTCAGCCACTTGATATCCCAGAAGACAGACTGGACAAGCGAGATTCACAATGTAACCATTTAGGTAAGTGTTACTAGATGATGTCATTGCAGTAATTAGAGAGGTGTTGTCTTCACATCATTAGGTCCTGTCCAGTGCCTGTTCTTCCCCTCCAGCAACACAACTGAGCCCTCATGAAACTCGATAGATTACACCTTCTGCTGACATTTCTGATGCCAGATGGAAGGGCAAAGAGTGTTTTTCCTGCATATAAATATTAGCCAAAGCTCTAGAGCAAGGTTAATTAAAGAGGAGAAAGGAAAAAGAGTCATTGTTCTTTTCCCTGGTAGAAAAAGTAGAGCAGTTTCTTCATTTATACCACAATAACCTGAAAGCTAGGATATAGCTGTGCCTTCCCTGAACACATTTTCCATACGCAATTTCGGTAAAAGGTTTCAAACACCCCTTTTGCCTCCACTGGGGCGGCTTTCTAAATACTTTTTCTCCTTCATTGTCAATCTGTTTCCTCTCTTGGGCGTATTTCATACATAACTTTTGCACTGAGAGTACCAGAGGCACCTTTGTTCCACCACACTCCTAAATACCAGACTTCATACTTGATAGATGTGCTTCTTACATATTCATGGTCTTGCCTCTGCTTCAAATGCTATTACTTCACTCCCGCCTTGCAAAATTGTCATGAAGATTTAGCAACCCAGAAACAAAAATCTATTTGCTCGTTGTTACTCTTGTGATGACAATAATGAAACACAAATGCAATTTCACTTGCTTGTCAAAAAGAAGTGTCTCACCACAGGCAAGCACAGTTTTATAAACTTTGTTTATCTGGCCTGCAAGGAAGGTATCCTAGTTCTGCCTCTGCCACACAGCATTTCTAGCCAAAGGCACCACTTTTACAACTGCTGGCATACCAAACATAATTGTTCCGTAAAATTACTTATTTAAATAAGTACAGAACGTGTCCCATTCTACAGTTGGGAAACTGAGGCAGCGGGAGGTTAAATGGACCATGCAGGAAGCCTGTGAGAGCCAGAAAATGATCCCACATCTTCCAGGGATTTCACCCGGAGGTCGTCCTTCCCACGTCTACCTGCTGGCTCACAGATGTACTGCTGCCTCAAATAGTGTGAGAGAGCCTGGAACCAAGTCCCGTTGCACCCAAGTCTGCAGTCAGGGGTTGGGTGGGGGTAGGGGACCCTGCTGAAGCCAAACAAGCAACTTTTAAGAAATCAAAGGATTGGTTTGCATGATGATACTAATGACAGGCTAGATTCAATATTTTCAGCTTGCATAAGCACCCACAAATGCAGATCCTCGCAGAAAAACTGTACTGACCATCTGAGCCATCTGAGCCAAGGCTTGCTTTAAGAGAAAACCAAAAATCCAGTGTAATGGTATGTAAATCAAAAGCAAACACCAACAGCTCAGTGGCTCTGGAAATAAACCCAGCTCTTGAAGGGAACAATATACTGGCTAGGTTAACCAATACCTCAGGCTGACCCCCCCCACATAAATCTTTCCTTCACAAAAGCGCCCTTGTAACTCTTGAAGACAACCCGCACAGTTAGTGCTGGACGAAACAGGGATGGCCATGGGACCTCTGCACATGATGGTGCAGCCTTCCCTCTGCCATGTAACACAAAGCTGCCCACAACTCTCTCCCTCTGCTTTATGTCTACCACCTACAAAGCAGAAGGACCACCTAAGTCACCTGACTCCCACATAGTATACCACAGAGGCCTCTTGTACTGACTTTCTATTTAAGAGATGTTTCTCCACAGGCATTTTAATCTACTTGGATGAAAGCAGTATTATTAAAGCTTTTCTTTTCACCATCTGCTTTATTATTTCCCCTCAGTTTCAATTTCTATTCATCTTTTATTTTCCCTCAGTTTCAATTTCTATTCATCTTTTTTTTTTTTTTGCCCCCACAGAGGATCTTTCAGAGCAGCTGATTAAGAGCTGTGACCTCAAAAAGAAACCAAGAAAAGGTAAAACCATCCAGGCTTCCCAAAACACTGAACAGGAGCAAAAAAAGCCAAGGAGAAAAGATACACCGGCTTTTTACACCCCACCACCCCTAACAGGTGAGCAATGCATCTCTTGACTTTGAAATCCCAATTCAGCTGAGGGGCCTGAATCTGGGCAAAGCTCCAGAGACCCCTCATTCACTTATGTCCCCTTGGAGGTGGGCAAGAATGCAGCTCCACACCATGTGCACCTGGGAAGGCAGGCAAACAGAGAGGCTGACTTTCTCAAAGGCATTCCCTGTTAGATGAAGGGTTTTCTCACAGGGTCTGGGAATACCAAGGTGAGCGGGTGCATGCTCCTGAAAAACATGCTCCCTTGGAGCTCATAGTCTTACTGCCCTTACATGATAAATTATGTGTGCTTATCTCTAGCTGCTGAGCCATGCTAGATGCCCAGATTTGATCTGGTCCAAAATCAAAAAGGATCCAGTTCAGCCCCTGCACTTTCTTGTGCAACTCGTACCCAGCGCTCAAGGGAAGGCTGAATGGGGATAAGGCTGGGGGGAGACAGGAGAGGCACACAAGCTGGCTGTGGGTTGCTCCTCCTGGAAATCGCAGGGCTCTTGTGCTTATGGGGACTCTGGCAAAGGGCGGGTGTTTTGGGAAGCCAGAAACCACCGCAGCAACAAAGGGGCTCCTTGTAGGATGCTCCCTGCTGCTGCACATCTACAGAACTCTGAAGTTCAAGAGCCAAATGCCACCAGCCTGGGGAAGGGAAGAATGAGCAGGAGACTACCACTGAATCCTAAAGATCTTCCAAGACCAGCAGCGGGAATAAATGTTTGTCGCTTCTCTCTGCTAACAAGCACCCCTTGTTGTGCTCTCCGGGGAGAGAGCTGTGCTCTTGTACCCACTGCATTGAGTTCTTCTTCCCATGCTGCACATACACAGAGGAGTTACCCAGTAACTACCTGCACGGTCCCCTCCGTACCCGCAACAATTCAGCAAGTCAAAAACAAGCAGCTGGGATTTCCAGTATTTGCAATCCAGATATTGAACTCAGCATGTTTGACTCTGTTCAGCTCTCACATGTATCTGCCCCTCAGCAATTCTCTTTTAGGGAAGAGTGGCTCAGAGGCTGGAGAGGTGCATTTTGTGCCCACAGTAGCCATATCATAAAGAAAACAGAGCTTCATTAGTTAAAATAGGCCATTTCTGTGTGGTCACATTGCCCCCAAGCAGAGGCTTGAACATCTGTATGATTAAACTAATTTGGTAAGATTGCACGCATCTTTACCATGATTTCTGATGGGCTGCAGTTTAGTCCATTAAGTACAATCAGAAACCAGGTGGCCTGATAGCATCACTGTCTATAGCCTCTGGGATATAATTGACTTGGAGGAAATGTATACCATTGCAAAACCTGAAGAGTAGGTACGCCATGCCGAACAGATCATCCACTAGTGCAGCCTTACTTCAGAGTAGTCGTTGGGAAAGTTACACAGGTGCAAATTTCTTCGATGTGAACAAGGCTGAAGTGGCATTTTCTTTTCTTTTTTTTTCTTGCCCACAGGCATACTTTCAGACTTTTCTGATAATCTGCTGAAAAGATATGGTATCACAGAGAAGCCACAGAGAGAGAGAGTGAGTCCAGCCTCTCAGATCACTGAACTGGAGCAGAAAAAGCCCAGGAGAAAAGATACACCGGCAATACACATCCCACCTTTGATAATAGGTAAGAAACGTACTTGGGTAACAGTGCTCCAAAGAGGAAGCAAAACATGGCTACTGTCAGAGGTATGCTTGGGAGGAGGCTGGAAGGAGGTTGTTCTGCCCAGTGTACTTAGCAGTTCCCGCTGAACTGGACCTATTTGGTCGAAGTATATAATAGCAGCGGTGGCTCATGGAAAGTCTTTTCTGTATTCCCTACTCATGCTTTTGGGATAGAACAGAAAGGGAGTAAAAGAAGACATTAGATCACTTGATTATCTCTTGCAAACGTGATCCTACTTTTGTGAAAGGCCAACTGCTGCCCGGCTTTTCAAATTGAGCACATGCAAATTTTTAGGTCACCAGCACTAACATAGCTCTCACACTGCCTCAAACAACCTGGAGCAAAGCTGTCCTGATTAACCTCCTCGTAACTCCACAGTCCCTAACGTGCACTGAGGAAACCAAACTGTGATGAACTTTTCGTTAACAGCACCTTAAAGACAGTTCTGTGCTTCTGGCATAATACGCAGTGCAGCAGCTAACGTGCCTGGTGATCATATGAAGTCAGCCAGCCATGTTTTCGTCCTAAGACCCTTTGTTTATTGCGTTTCCCACATTCCTCTATCACAGAAGAGCCTCAATTCATCAATATTGCTGAAGGTCTTTGAAGATGTAAAGCACTGTGTAAATGTTAATTACTAGTGCTAGCTAGGGATGCAGGAACTAGTGCAAGTTTGTATGCTATGCACTAACCCTTTCCAGATCACAGGATGGAGCAAAAAATGAATGAACTAATGAACAAACGAATGAACAAAAAACAAAAAAAACAAACCCCAGATCCAAAATTAGTGCCAAAACTGGAAAACACTGTTCCCTTAGGAGCCTCTCATATGAACCAGTTCTGCTGTGGGCTGGCACTACTGAGCAGTGAGACACACTAAATGAAGAGGTTCTGAGACAGACACTTTGGCCCTGAGTGACTAAGCGACAGCTCAGTACATCAAGCACCTGAGTTTCAGGTACGCTTTGAATGGAATTTCCTGTACACCTAATAATTATAAGGCGTGCAAATGGCTTCATCAATCCAAATAGGCACCTGTATTTGTAGACATCTCCTTTCTTTGTAAATCTGAGCCTTCATAACTGACTTTAAACATGTGTAAGAATTTTTTTCATTTAATCGGTATGAGGCTCCCAAAAGCAGAGAGGAGTATGACTAAGTTTGCAGGATCATGGCAGCAAGCATGGTGAATACTGTGTGCATTTGCTGTTGGGAAAATGGTAGAAACTAATGCATTTTTCAGTTGTTTTCAATTATACCTCCAATGACGCTTTCTTGCCTATTGGTGAAGCCACCTTCCAGCACTCAGCATGGATTCAGAGCAGCCTGCTAGATGCTGCCTCTCCCTGCAGACAGCTTTTCCAGATCCCGTATTCTGGGTCTGTTTTCTAGCGATTGACCGCCTGTGGCAGACTTGTGTCTGTATCAGGGCCAAAGTAGCCTATGTGTTCGAATGCCTGGATTTCATTCCCTCCCTACCCTAAGGATGCATGTTTTCTTTTCAAGATACACACCGACATACAGCGTTCTGCTGGTTGAAATTCGCCAGCGGTGGCTCCACGACTTGCTATGAAAAAGTGACTCATTGTGGCTGAGGGCTGGTCCAATATTTACTACTTGTTTACTTTCAGGGTTATCCCATCAGGTAGCAGACAGAGCACAAACAAACGGAGCTCTTGCGGAACTGCTGTGCAAAATAGAGCCTGAATTATAGACTCGGAGACCTGAGAAGCCCTGGCAGGGCTACGTGCGCTAAATAAATATAGACAGGCCTTTCTGTCCCTGTCTCCCTGTTATTGGCGTTGCTGCAGTAAGCAGCACACTCAGTGACGCATGTATCCCTTGCGACCTGCTCATGAGGATTGTCCCCGTTTCTAACATTTCCCCTTCCTCCCAAACACCACTTCCAGATGCCAATTCAAAAAACTCCACTTAATTGTTTGTAGTAACAGAGCTCAATTACTAGATTATCTTTTTAAGCAGCTGTCCAAACAAATAGCTTTGTTGTAAATGTAGATAAAAATGGCAGCTGTGTTCTCTCTCTCCATTTTGACCAGCTGATTATGAGCACTCTAAGACGGTCCCTCTCCTTCTTGGGTGGCCAGAGAGATTTTCTATCGCAAATAAAAGCAAGTCAAACAGACTATACAAAGTGATGAAAATCAATATATACCTACTGGACGGCACGTGATTCAAGTGAGAAGTAGAATCAGTTTTACACCTTGCAAACACCCAAGGGGGCTGATAAACCAGGATCTGACCATTACTGTCTGCAGGAACCCACGGCTACTTCTTGTCTGCAGAAGGAGACTAAGGACATCAGTCCTTAGCCAGCTTAAATGTCTAAGCCTGGGCATCACAAAACCCTCCCCTACAAGGGTCTGACTTCTAAATGTATTCAACCTTCAAATTCCTACTGAAGTGGCACAAATAACATTGTGCCATGTGTGTACAAATGAGCCACGAGCAGAGGTCTCCTCCCGTGGCCAGCTCCCCTTCAGTCAGCCAACACCTCGGCTTTTTGAAGGGATTAGACCAGAAAACAAAATATAATCAAAATTCTAATCTTTTTTTTCCTCTCACGTGATAGTAAATGATTTGAATCTGATCCAAAGCCTGTACTCAGCTCTGGGACACTCTACTGCCATCCCCACTTAGCAATATATTCAATTAACTGAAGGATTTCTGGGAGCTCTTCAGGCCTGTGGGTTTGAGCAAGAATGTAAATACATGTGTAAATATGGGAACGCGGTTCCTGAAATGTGGCTGCTTAGGGTTTCTTAATCAGATCAGAGATAACTAGTAAAAACCACAGTTTCAAACCCTCATTCTCCCTCATGCACTAGAAAACTAGTTAAGGTAGCTCCTTTAGGATAACATCAACCCCCCAGTGAAAAATCTCTGAGCGACGCAGGAGAAGCACAGCAGTTTAATGTCACCTCTTGCCCTTTTCCAGTGCGAGGGGTGTGACTGGAGCACTCCAATACTCTTCCAACCCAGCTGCAGGAGTTGTCTGTAGGCGGTCAAGTGGAACGGGTGCCATCTTGGTGGTTTTCCGATTTACAACCCAGGAGGAGTGGTTCAGATCTAGGTGGCACCTGGCAAACGGTTGATGTAAGCCAACTTCTTCTGCCTACGTTTGAGCTTCCTAACAGAAGCTCTCATGTCTCTGTGAGCCTTTGAGGTCCTAGTCTCCAGCTAAAAATTGCAAGTAGTTGCAAGTTCTGTTGGGAAAGTATGGCTACACTGTATTTCTATGCTGCTTTCGTTAGTCAGATCCCTCGGTGGATATTAACAGAACAACCTACCAATCCTTAAAACAGATTTGCGGGATGAGCTGCATTTCATAACACACAGCTGGGAAAACAGAGACAGGGAGGCTGAGTGACTTACTTAAACAGTAAACAGAGAAAGACTGACTTACAAGTGTTGCCCAATTCCAACATCCTTCTCACTCTTTTAAACCCAGAATTTCCAAACCACATTCAGTAAAGCACACTTTCTCCATAAGTGATCAGTGGTATTGTACCAAAGACAAAAATCCTTTCCCTGTGTTATAATTCTAGCTAAGACATCCCATTTGTATCCTCTTTCCACTGTTTTGCATTAAAAGGCTGATTTTAAAGGCACGTAGTTAGTCCTTGAAGTTGCTGGTGGCCTGTGGTCTGGAAAGTTAACAACCTGCAGCTCTAGGCTATGTCCTCCTCTGAGCTTTGAATCCTGAACTCTACTGGAAACTTTTGGAGTCACCATTCGTTGATAATGATGCCTCATCTTGCTATTGATTGTGGTAAGCATCTGGCACGCTACTGATGCGGGTCCAGCTGAGAGCTGGGGACCTCTGCTTGGCTGCTACCTTCCAGCTGTCTCTAGCATCTGCTCTAAAAAGGCTAGTTTATGTGCTATAACCAGGCCATCGGGATTACAGAAACATACTTTGCCTTCATCACTTTGTAATTCAAATAAGAGAGTGGACACGATCCTAAAGCACAGTGCAGCTTTATTTAGCTTACATTCCTGATCTCTTATTCCTGAGTTTACCCAAAAAAATAGGTTAGCTGTCATCAAATGATCCGTTGTAGCTTCACTTTTTAAGCGTATTTTAGTTACGTTTTCTTCATTCCTCAAATGCTTCACGAAGAAAAAACAACAACAAAACCCCACCCTCCCCTAAAAAACCCACAACCCAAACCCCAAAGACAACAGAAAAAAAAAAATTGTCTGTATTTGTCTAAGTTGTCTATATGAATAGAAGTCTGGGTGGGGAACATTTACATCCATCTCTATATAATGGCATAAGTCTTTGCAGTTAACAATGGTGGTTACTCAACTGCTGCTCGAACAAATGAAGTCCTTTGTGTTTCGAAATAATATTCATTCATGCTTTTCAGTTCATCTCATGGTCCCGCCGAAACCAGCTAGTTCACAAGAACTGCATATAAATGAAGCAGGAGCTAACTTAAATGAAGGGCAGTATAGGTTAACATTTTCGTTAATTCATCACCTCTTGAAAAGACTCCAAAGCTGACGAAAATCTTCCTGTGTGGTATTGCTCTATTTTCAGAGCTCGTCAAGACTGAAAGCCTTCTCTGTGAGAGGGCTTTCGATGCAGAAAGAAGCAAAACAGGTTGGTTTGACAGAACAACTCAGCTGGTTAGCACAGACTGAGAGCAAACAGCAGGAGACAGAATTAGGGAGAGATTTCGTTGGTCTCAACACAATGGTAACCCTCATCCTGTTTTTAGACTATGTTAACCTCCACACCAAGGACTGTGGGCATATAATACAGGTCACTTGCTTTTTACTGGGAACAGGCAAAACCAACACAATCTGTTAAAACAGGGATCAAGAACATTTTCTATCTATCTAACGCATTGTCCTCTCTTCACTCAATTAATTTAATTTCTAATAAAGAGAGCAGTTACAGCAATTGTGATATGTTGATATCACATAAAAGCCTCAAGATCCGTAAGGGGTGGACTTACTGTTTTAAGTATGAGAGAGAGAAAGGGAAAGAGAGACAGAGAGATGAGGGGAGAGGCAGATGTTTGTGGAAGGTATGATCCACAACCTATCTATATAGTAGAGAAGGACTTCGGAAGAAGGAAGCACTTACATGTGGAAAAATACTTCACATAGCATACCTACAGCTGATGAAAAGGTTTCTGGAATCCCCATGCTGTGCTTGAACTGTGAAATCAAATTCCTTTCAATATCATGTCATATTGTTCTTCAGTGCTTTCGCGATAGGGATGAAGCTTTATTTTTCTTCTAGGATGGCTAGGCTTCAAAGCTTGTTAAGATCCCAAACCTCAGTAACTCATATACTGGCTCAAAGCCTTCAGTAACATGCCCGAGTTTTTTAACATTGATCTTAATCTGGTTGCTTTTGCAATTTATTGATACTATATAACTTCAATGGGGATGGCACTTGGCATGTGGGTATTCTAACATTTGTCTCTTTTGGCATCTGCATTTGCAGAATCTAAGTAATATTGCTGTATACATATAGAAAACAAGCATGCATACACATGTTCACATAAACTGACTCAGCCACATAGATCAAACACAGTATTTATTTCATCATGCAAGCTCTTTCCCTTTTTTAGCTTCTCAAACCCTTTTAACAGGTTCCCAGAGGAAACTTCAGTACCTCTTTTCGCAGGTAGCAGAAATAGCCTGGATTTAAGAGTGCCTGTTAAATTTAGCTAAAAATGCAGTGATCCAATTCTAGTTCACTAAATATCAGGAGACTGATGTGCCAAAAATAAATGAGTAACTCCCATGATGTTGGAAAACGATGTTAGGATCAAGAAATTAGAGATGACTGAAAGATTCTTCTTATCCTGATATTTTCTAAAGAAGTAATATTTTAAATCAACTCCTTTTTTTTTCTCTCTCTCTTTTTTTTTTTTTTTTTTTTTTTTTTTTTTTTTTTTTTTTTTTTTTTTTTTTTTTTTTTTTTTTTTTTTTTTTTTTTTTTTTTTTTTTTTTTTTTTTTTTTTTTTTCCCCTTCTGTTTTTAAGGCACTAAGCTGCTTACAGAAGAAAAGCAAACAGTGATTATGGAAGATGAAGAAAAGGATGGAGACACAATCCCCAGTTAAGATTACAGTGATATTTCCAATAATGCAGTGTAAATAATTCTGGGTCATTCAAAGTGGCAGCACATAGAAAAAACAGTCCTTTCATTTTCATAAATAATAATTTTCTCAAGCATGCACTTGAATTTAAATTATCTTCAAGTGCTTATCTGCATCTCATGAAATCCCAGCAAGCATCATAGGAGATGATGACAGAAATTTCACTTACACGTGGTGTTGGAAGGATTCTCTTGGAAAAAGAGAAAGCAGCTTCCCAGGATTTTGTCAATGAGGAATCCACCTCAGATCAGATCTAGCTTTGTGCAGCGTGGTGATACGGGTTAACACAAAGGACACCACCAATCCACTGTACCTGGCACTAGATACCAGAGCGATTGGTAGCACAGGGCCGTAAAACATCAACTAATGATTCAAATTGCATTTTTCTCCTGATGTTTCACCTCATTCATCCAGCTGTCCTCTGCTGGAATAACATTGACCACAGTGCAAATTCCCACGTGCAGAGCTGACGGGATAGATGGAGAGAGTGGGAGGGAAGGAATCAACTCTAGAGTCCCTGAAACGCAAAGCAAACACTTCCTCTGCCTGTATCTGCTCATGACTTGTATTTGTGAGGAGAAAAAGGTAGATTTACTGTAGTATGAAAACTTACAGGTAAGGGCTGTCAAACACATCAAACTTACAGCTAAGGGCTGTTTGACACATCAAACAGGACAGAGGGCAGAGTTCTCGGAAGAGAAACATACGGGAAGTGCAGCGCCTGCCTGTTACACCAGGGTAGACTATTGATTTCTTTTTTCTTTCAAAGGTTTTATTCCTGGGTTGCTGAAAGAAAACCTAGTTGAATAGTTGATCCTTTTACTCCATATTTTTTCTTTTGACACATGCTTTTTAAACTGAGTCCTGGGTTGTCAGTTAGGAGGGGCTGTAAAGATTAAAAATCATGGGGGGAGTGTAAAAAGAATAGCGTTACTCAATGGCATACACATACTGCAAGGTGGAACAGCACCACGCTTTTTTTTTAATAGTTTACCTCATTGATTCAATCAAGAATTGTTTTCACAGCCAGCTACAGCCTTCAGCATTTGTACAAACAGAGACGGGTACTTGTAGAATATTATACAAAATAGGTAGAACTGGGTAGTTTTGTGCTTACCTTAATAGCTCTGTGCGCTAGATGGAGCAGCGCTGCCGGTGGTTAAAGATTATCTAGCCTGGCAAGCTGAATTCAGTTATCTTTTTAACATCCTTAGGCAGACAGCTGAGGAGCACACTAGTTTGGACTTCATTTGCCACAGTGACTGACCCAGCATCTTTCATGAGAACTCAGTCCATTCGCAGATATTCAGCTTCAAGATGTAATCAACAAGCTTATAATAAATAATCACGTATTAAAGTGTACAAGAGGCCAGCTATATTATTAATGGGATGCCTGATACCTAAGAGGTGTACTTTTTTTTATCCTGTTAATCTATCAGTGAGACAAGATAATATTTAAAATATAATCACTCAATAGTTCATATAACAACATTCATGTAAGGTACACAGTAAGTATGTCACAGCAAGTACATGACAAAAAATACGTGTGATTCGAGTCTAGCTTTACCAGTGAAGTTGGTGAATATTTTCAGTGCACAATACAGCAAGAGTGAGAGCGTGGAGTCCTGAAAAGATTCAAATGAACATCAGCAATGGATTAGCCGTGAAAATGTACATGTTTAGACATGAAGGCCCTTAACAACACAAGGCAGGAGCACAAATAGGATGTGACTGACTTCACTGCTCTGAAGAGGATTTGTTTCCAAGCCTGGGGAATGCTGACACAGCTTAATATGAAAAAAAAAGAGCACCCTTTAAGCTTAGCACTATATGTTCTTCACCAAAGAGGAGTTACGGTCCCAGTGACATCTCTGATGGCACAGCAGCCTAATTTACCGTCCCTGTATAGATCAACTTGAAGGCCAGCCATAAAAATGCCGCAACATACATCATTTGCCGCAGTTCATTTAAAATTGCATATTCATAGCTTGGTAATTCAGCATTTACTGTTTTTCCATCCAGGAGCAACATGAGCAACTAAAAAGTAATTTTTCACTTGATCAATTAAGTAAATAGGAGTTTTTGCAATGTTCCTGGGAAGCAGTGTGATGAATCGTTTCTCAAAGCTTTCACCTGCCTCATTGCACTCAGTGAAAGTGTTAAATGTTACTTTATCTGGGAATAGGACAGGATTTTTTTCAAATCAGATAAACACTGCCCTTTCCCCCAAAACAAAGCCTTTAGGTGTTGCAGAATCGTGTATGGACTGTACAATGGCGTGAATGTGGTTTACCGGGTTTATTTATTGTCCTTCAGGCTCTGAACTCTCCCTTGAAGACCAGATAGTGCTAAAACTGCACAAATTGCTCTCCTAGGCAATTGGCTGGAGTTGGTGTGTTCTGGGACAGAAATGCTTTTGCACCCAGTGTCCCCAAAGGTCCCCCGTGGCCATTACAGCAAAAATGGAAGGAAACGGAAAGCACAGAAACAGACTAAGCCTTTCCGTAGCACTGTTAGGACTGGGATGCTCCAGACTGAAGTAGCTTACATTATCTGCACATAGGTATTGACTGCTTTAAGGCCTTAGTAGCTGTCTTGCATTCAGATATTTAGCTGGAACTGCATCTCACCCCAGAAGTCTGCACTGGGCAGAACAACCAGTCCGAGGCCTCGGAGGGCATGAAGTGCTTCAGTCAGTGAATAAAAGACTGACTGCAGTCAGGAGGTTGTTAATGGCTAATATTTTTGGAGCAAATTCTCAATTAACCTCTACCTAGAAACTAAGGGACAGGTCTCCATTTACAATAGAATTGGGACAAAGGGATTTAATGGCCTTGCGCTTTAGCAACTTTCAACTAAGGATTGCAGAAAGCCCATCACCCATCTGAAGGGGATGTAATGAGCATTTTTGTAGTGCTAAACATGAGGTCCATAGGTTAAGCGATTTGCCCAGTTAAACCGCAGCAGGAACAAATCCAAAGCAACATTCATGATGCTATCACTAACTCACACTATATTCACAGATAAAGCAGCATTTGCATGCGTTGAGTTTAGCAACACTTACGCTGAAATTTTGTCTGGTTGAAATTTTGTCTTACTGATTAATAAATTGATAATTGTATAATGCTTTGACCACTTAAATTAATAGGTGTGTTTAGATATCATAACAGATTATCTTCCTGCATGTCCTATGCCAATCCTACCTTTTGAGATTACATTTTGTATGCATGACCTTACAGTATTCTTGTAGGCAGAGAGACTGCCCAGCAATTGCATCTACAAGCGAAAATCAAAAGTGCACGTCAGTGAAGCACGTTAGAAATTTTGGCTTCTCACTTGTATTTAGATAAGTTCATAAACACGTATTATTCTGTTCCTTACATTCCAAAAAAAGCCATGGGCCTCTTAGAGGGAGGTGGTGCAAACAGAAATACCAGTATTCTGGAAATGTAGTTCTACAAATAGAAAGAGTGAACATTAAAAGCCAGTTTCTACTCCATGATACTGGCTCCTGGTCCTGCGGGAGGAACCCATGTCAGTCTGTCCGACCCAGGAGCTGCGAAGGGAAGCTTAACCCATCCTTATACCCAACATTCTGAAGAATCCTGAAAAGACACGGACTGGACAGACAGACAAGCAGCAGCAAAATTAGAAAGCACATTCCAGAAATAAAAGAACTGCTTTTGATGGACCATTTGTGTTTATTCTTGCAGGTATAATGATCCTGTAAAATGCAAGCCATGTATTTATAATCGTGAGACACGTTGCCATGAGTTTTGGATTTTTCCAAGCTGTCAAGTCTTTTCCAACCTTCAAAGTAGTTTTTCGGCCCCCAGGTGGTCTTAGGATCTGAGACAAAGTTATACCTATCCCAGGTTTGTTTTTCTGTATTCTGTTTAGCCTGGAGAAGAGAAAGCTTAAAGGGATCTTATCAATATATATAAATGTCTGATGAGAGGGAGTAAAGAACAGGGAGCCAGGCTCTTCCCAGTGGTACCCACTGACAGGACAAGAGGCAGTGGGCACAATCTGAAACACATGAAACACCTCTTACAAATAAGAAAACATGTTTTTACTACTGAGCACTGGCACAGATAGCCCAGAGAGGTTGTGGAGTCTCCATCCTTGGAGACTTTCAAAACCAAACTGGACACAGCCCTGAGTAACCTGCTGCAGTGGACCCTATTTGGACTGGCCAACTCCAGAGGTGCCATCCAGCCTCAGCGATTCTGTGACTATAGCCCAGGATCCATATCAAGAGAGCTGCTTGGTGATGCTTAGCAGGTCTGTGAAGAGACCCGGAGAAAAGTTTGGGGTAAAGGGAGGAGTACACGCAAAAGGATAGTGAGGGATTGGCCAGAAGGACTTGTGCTGGCTAGATACCTGAGCAACGGAAGTGAACAACAGATGTCAACAAGAAGGAGAAAGGAGGTGGGGACATGGCCAGTCCAGAACCAAATTTGCTTTACGAACCCAACTGTCTACCTCGTGACCTAAAGAATTGGAAAGGCCCATTTAAGCTGCTGAGCCATAACTCCTCCTCCCTCCTCCTCCCCTTCCTCCTCCATCTCTGCTCTGGCGGCTGCAATTGCTCTTGAGGACGTTGGAACCAATCTTCCTTTCCAATCCCTGTTTGTGTAGACATAGAAATACACAAAATATAAGGAATGAATACTCAAGAGTCTCTCTATGCCTCACTCACTGTGTATTTTAACATTCAGATTTTTAATTCAGACTTTAATCCTTTTCTAAAAAAATAAACAAAAACTCCCTCTCAAAAAACAGAGCACCAAACTTTCTTGCCGTAGCAAAGCAATCCAGTGATTAGAGCAAAGACTCAGTTCACAAATGGACTAAACAGAAAAAAGGCTAAATTTGCAAGTGTTGATAGTTGCAATGAGTAATTCATAACAAGTCTAAATGGCATCATAAGTCTGAGATCATAAAACTTTCCAGGAGGGACAGATTACTCAGCTTTATTTCTATGCTGGCAGCAAGTGGTTATCTCAGAAATCATCAATGCAGAAAAAGGTTGAGTGCATTGCAAAGCCAGACCTCC